ACGGAGGGTGGGTGCGTTTCTCTGGTCCTGCAACTGATCTAATATAAAGTCATGTGATTCTATGCTCAGTCGTCCATCCATAAAATAGAGGTGGGGCCTGTTCTTTGTTTGAGGTATACAAAGGCCATGGCAAGTAATGCAATTTTCCTCCAGGAAAGGAGAATCAGGAATTCTGCTCCTAACCTAACAGAAACCCAAGATCAAAGTGCCCACCTGTTCACTAAAGACACAGGAGAAGCTCAAAGCAGCAACTCCGAACTGGAAATCACCAGAAAAGTCTGGGAGCTTAAGAATGGAAGCAAGCAGCTAGCCAACAATCTGAACTAATAATGACAAGCCAAACCAAACTATGACAAGCAACAACGTGAGTGATTGTAATGCTGGAGCAAGACAAATGTCATCTGGTTAGGGCTTGAAGGCTATGTAAGCCTACACACCAGCTCCTGCCAGCTTTATAACTGCTCTTACTAACTCTAGGGCCTTCCACCTCTGCCAGTCCTTTCTCCCTCTATCCTTTTGGCTCAAAGGTAGGTCCACATTTTGGCTGCCAGAGATTCCCTAGCCCCTTCTTGCCCATGCATCTGCCTGAACATCAGCTCTGTTCTCCATTTCACTGTAGTCTTCATGACTTCAAACATTTTTTAAAAGATATTTTTATCACATTAGTTATACAGGAAGGGGGATTTCATTGTAATCTTTCCACACATGTTTATTACAATGTATTCTAATCAATCTCAAGCCTCTATCGCTCTTCCTTCTCGTTTCCCAAAACAACAGGGTGCATTGTTCTCTTTTCATAGTTGAAAGTCATCTATTTCCACTGTAGTCAACCTCCTTTGCCCTCCCCTGTGGCCCCATCCTAACTTTCTTGCTCTTCTTTTTGAACCTGAAAAGTTTGAAGTTGAAAATGCGGTTGCTTTCCTCCGCTTTCTGACATTGCAAGAAGAATTTCAGACTTATTTATGGGACATATCATCATGAGCTTGCTTATCCCAAAGGAAGAGGGGTAGAAGAGGGAAAGGGAGAAGGTGGGAGAATGCAGGCATGAATTTATTGTATATAACACAGAATTGAGGGGTGGGTCGAAGGGTATGTGTGTAAAGATGTTGAAGGGATGACACAGATTGAGACGCATTGTATAGCCAGGTGCTGGTGGCTCACGCCTGTAATCCTAGCTACTCAGGAGGCTGAGATCTGAGGATTGCAGTTCAAACCCAGCCTGGGCAGGAAAGCCTGTGAGACTCTTATCTCCAATAAACCACCAGAAAACTGGAAGTGGCGTTGTGGCTCAAGTGGTAGAGTGCTAGCCTTGAGCTGAAGGGACAGTGCCCAGGCCCAGAGTTCAAGCCCAAGACCAACAACAACAACAAAAAATTCTTTGTATGCATAAATTGCTTGGTTAAGTGGCAAAAAAGGTAAGGAAAGTGAGGGAAGGGGAAATGGGAGGGGTGGGTGAGAATGTGGAAAGACACTGATCAAGAGGCACTATTTTCATAAATTGCTTTGTTGAATGACAACTCATCCATGCCACTACTTAAAGAAACTAAAACATATTTTTAAGAAAGAGTTTGATGATTATCCTCTTTCCAAATTCCTGACTCATCTTCTTGCTTTCCTCATAGTGACCATTTCTAGTAAATTTCCAATAGGACTAAAAATGGTATCACAGGCAAAGACCACAACAGTGCGTCTTCTCTGTAGAATATATCTTGATAGAGGATTCATGAGGTGCAGATTTCAAGCCCGGCCTCTTCTCTAAATACATAGACAAGAATTCATCTTCCTCAGAGGGACTGAAAAAGATTCCAAATGAAAACCCACAGCTCCTAGAGAAAGGGTGCTTGGTGAGTTAGGTCACTAGACAAACTACTTATAAGAAAGATCCACAGGGCTCATTAGGCCTGAAAGGATCTGGAAAATTCCATCACAGTGTCCTTACGCCCTGAGACTCTGCTCAAATCCTTGAGTTCTTTGACAAATCAGTTGTTAATGGGAAGCGATTATGTAGGTTGCTTTGTACTCATTTTCTTAGGATTAATAAACATTTAGGTTAGAGTTATTTCTCGTCTGATGGAAAAGAAACATGTGCTGGGTAATCTTGTTGGGGATTGTACCAATTTTACACTGTAAATTATGCTTTTCTGAAGGTCAAAAGCTTAGCAAAACATTGCTACAAAAATGTTATAATTAAGATTCATTTACAGAAGGTTGGAGCAAAAAACTGTGTCTAAAAAAGATTATCAAGCTATGACTCAGCCTAACCATATAAATCTTCATTTTAAAAAGTAGCTGTTTTGTAAGAAGCTTCATTTTAAAAATATCTCACTGTTCTTCTCAGGAAACATATAAAGAGATTAAGAGGGGAGAAAATCAGATGTGTTGAAGCCTTAGAAGTTTAGAAGTGGCATCTTTAATGTATAAGATCATTAAAGTTTTTTATAAGCCAATTCGAGGTTGTGAGAGGGATTCATTTTATACATGCGAGAATTTCTGTTTGGAAAAAAGTTTGATAATTAGAAATATTTAATTAAACTATCTGTCCTGTTGGATAATCTCTTCTCTCTGGAGCTGTGACTCTCAAGCTAGAGCACACATTAAAGTCACTTAGAAGGCCTGCCAACTCTCCCACAGAGATTCTGACCTCGTAGACTTAGGTACATTCCACAATCACATTCTAACCAGTTCTCTGTGAGATTGGTGCTCCTGGTCTAGACTTCACTTGAAGAACCACTGATCTAGAGTGTTATAAACCTTCCTGTACATTAAAATACCCCAGGAAGCTTTGATGAGTATCCTCATTGGCTGCACCAGCCTCACTGAATCAGAAAAATCTCTGTGTAGAGGATTGGACTTAAAATGTTTCAGATGCAAACTCTAGTATTACTGACGTCTAGCTAGGACTGCTCACCTTTGTTCTGGGTGAAAGTTAGTCATATGGCCACTTTTGGAAGTTATGATACCAAAAGTTAGCAGAAGATGCCTGGAAATGCTATCAATTCTTCCCAAATGTGGTTTGTGGGCTGTGCATGATGACCAACTGGACACCAGTGCCCGCTGGCTGGCTGGCCTGCTCTGCTAGGTGGTACCTCCAAACTCAGTGAGGAGTTGGGAGTCGGTGTTATCTGTGAGATTACGACAATGCCCGGGAGTTTCCTCTGCTTGGTAACTCGGTCAGCACAGCACACACTGTGCTCTACTATGTGAACGCCAGCCAGTCTACACCGGTGGACAATGAGTCATTTTAGATTTTAAAAAGAAAAACAAGGAATAAATATTTCTCATTGTTTCCCCCCAAAGCTTTTCTTGATTGAGCCCCCAAACAGCAATCAGTTCAAGGACAGCAGATTTCTCAGCCTTTTTATAAAAGAGGTCCAAAAAAGTTAGGTGATTTCCCAAAGTTATAATACAGGGGGGTGTGTTGGAGCTATGATTTGAACCTGGAACTCTTTGATGCCGACATTAGGACCCTAGTCACCTAAAATGCCGCCAAATTCAGGGGCATTGTGTAGAATCAGCTATGGCCCAGTGAAAAATCTAAGTATTTGCATGCTCAGAAATAAAAAAAAATAAAGAATTCTTGCTCAGAAATAAAGAATTCAAGATGGCAGCAATAGAGCAGTAAATGCAGTTTGAGACACTGTGTACTGGTGGTATCATGAAGCAGGTATGAACAGTATTAACCCTACCAAATACTCTTATCAAATAAGAAGCAGCTTAGAGGCATCTGGTGGGGTAACAGGAACCCCGGATCTGTAGGTATATTGGATTCTAGGCAAAACTCTTCCAATAGTTTCCTGTTGACTTGAATATATGATCTAATTTCTTGGATCTTTAGTTAGTTCTTCTGTAAAGATAAAATGGTGCTGGATATTGGTGGATCATGCTTATAATCCTAGCTATACTCAGGAGACTGAGATTTGAGGATTGTGGTTCAAAGTCAGCCTAGGAAGGAAAGGTTATGAGACCTTTATGTCTAATTAACCACACAGAAGACCAGAAGTGAAGCTGTGGCTCAAGTGGTCAAGCACAAACCTTGAGCAGAAAAGCTCAGGGACAGCACCCAGGCTCTAAATTCAAGCCCCACATTAAAGAAGAAAGAAGGAAAGAAAGAAAGAAACAAGGAAACAAAAAAAGAAAGAGGGAAAGGGAGAAAAAAGAAAGAAAGAAGGAAGGAAGGAAGGAAGGAAGGAAAGAAAGAAAGAAAGAAAGAAAGAAAAAGAAAGGGAGGGAGGAGGTGGTGACAACACCAGTATCTTCCCAACCCTGGTGCTTTGTGTGACACATTTTTAGGTTAGTTAAAACAAAGGACTCAGGTCCCAGTTCTAATCTTGCCCCTGCTATATTCTGGTTATATGGTTTTAGGCAAGGACCTTGATTTCTTCCTCTATAAAACAGAGATTATCAGGATCACTAAAGAAACAAGAAAAATAGCATCGGTACTAGTACTAGAATTTTTTTTTTTTTTGGTTGGTCGTGGGGCTTGAACTCTGGGCTTGGGCGCTGTCCCTGTGCTCTTCAGCTCAAGGTGAGCGCTCTACCGCTTGAGCCACAGCGCCACTTCTGGTTTTCTAGTGGTTATTGGAGATAAGAGTCTCTCAGACTTTCCTGCCTGGGCTGGCTTTGAACCGTGATCCTCAGATCTCAGCCTCCTGAGTAGCTAGGTTTACAGGCCTGAGCCACCAGCACCCTGCTCAGACTTTTTTTCTTAAACACAAGTCACCTTTTCAATAGTAAAAAATATCACCTCTAATCTCTTTCTAAGAAAAAGTACTTGTGAAATAACCAGATCCCTGTGTATATGTAGTGAAAATGTATAATAATCATACAATATTCTAGAAAGTTCATTCAAATTCCAAAAGCAGATGAAACAGTACTGGCCAGATGGCACAACACTCGGCTGACATATCATTAGATGCCACACACACACACACACACACACACACACACACACACACACACCTTGATTGAGAATTCACAAGGCTACAAGGGAAGTTGCTTACCTACAAAGCACCAGACCGCAAACCGGATCCAGGTGATGGTGGAGAGCTTTAGCATGAGATAGATGTTCACCAGCATGGCAAAGGCCGGCACGAAAGGCAGACAAGGCGCCATGTACGGCAGCTTCTTGGGGTTCTCCGGCTGCTGTAAGATCACGAACACCAGGGCGCTGATTAGCAGCACCATCAGAACCACGAGCAGGATGGCCCACCAGCTCTGCCCCGAGATGTAGTCGGAACCGAAGATGATGAAGGAGCAGAAGATGAACATGAGGATGAAGAGCAGCAGCACGCAGATGGTCACTGTGCGCCCCGTGGCTGCCGTGGGCCGATCCATTTTGCCTGGAAGGCCCAGGCGGATTCTCAGAGTGTAGTAACGGGGTCCAATCAGCTTCTTCAGCTTGATGAGATAGATGTTTTCAGACTCATCTGCTTCGATGCCCGTGGTCATGTCCACCGTGCCGTAGTTGGGGTGGCTGACGTTGTAGGTGGACTTGTCTGACTTCCCAATGAGCATCTCGTTGTCCCCTAGTGAGGGGAGGTTCTTGGCCCCACAGGGGTTTGTGGCTGGGCCAGAAAATTCTTCCCCTTCACTCACTGGCGAGCACACGTCCTTCTCGCAGTCAGCCAGAATGCCCTCCTTCTTGGTGTGCTCTTCGGACAAGAACTTGACAAAGCCATCGATGTCACTCTCGGGTTGGTAGCGAAGGAGCAACACACAGACGGAGACCAGGGTGTAGGCCAGGAGGGTGCCGATGGACATCATCTCTATCAGGTCCCGCAGGCTGACCAGCAGTGAGAGGAGAGCTGCCAGGAACCCGGACACGATGCACGCCACCACTGGTGTCTCTGTGTAGGAGCTGACGTGGGCCAGGAATCTGAGGGCAGATGGAAGCAGGGTTAATGGTGTGCTGTATGGTGGTTGATGTGTGTGTGTGTGTGTGTGTGTGCACCTGTTACCTGGTGCTTGAACTCAGGGCCCCTGGGTGCTGTCCCTGAGCTTTTGTGCTCAAGGCTAGCACTCTACCACTTCAGCTGCAGCTCCACTTATGGCTTTTTTAGGTGGTTAATTGGAGATAAGCATCCCATAAACTATCTTTCCTGGGCTGGCTTTGAACGGTGATCTTCAGATCTCAGCCTCCTGAGTAGCTTGGGTTACAGGTGTGAGCCACCAGCACCCAGCTGATGCAATCCTAACCTGGACACTGTAGGGAACCAACAGTTTGGTGTAATTTTTTCCTCTCTCCTGCCCCCTCCAATTTGCTTCTTTCACTGCTTTAATTCTGTCTGCTACTCCTACCCCAGAGTGTGGCTCCTGGAATCTAACTTAGAGAGGAATCACTTTAATTCCTTGGTTTTTGAGGCAAGATTCTTTCCTAACGTGTCTACTCACTATGTGATGGGAAATCAATTGAATCTAGGGAATCTGTCAGATTTAAGTTAAAGCGAAGCCTTCCTTCCTTCCTTTCCTCCCTCTCTCTCTCCATCCCTCCCTCCCTTCCTTCCTTCCTTCCTTCCTCCCCCCCACTTTCTTTCTTAAGAATGATTGGTAAAGGCCAGTCAGACATCTGCTTGTGGCCTCTCAAGTTGTGGATTTGGAGTATTGGCATATTTTCTAACTTCTTAGAAATATATGTTGGGCACCAGTGGCTCGTGCCTGTAATCTGAAGTTCAACTCAGGCAGCAAAGTTAGTGAGACTTTTTAAAATCTCCAGTTAACAACCAAATAGCTGGAAGTGGAGCTGTGGCTCAAGTAGTAGCCTTGAGTAAAAAAAATTCTAAGGGACAGAGCACAGGACCTGAGTTGAAGGCCTTGTACTAGCACCACACACACACACACACACACACACACACACACACACACACACACACACACACACACACATTCAGCTTTTACCGAAGATCTACCACATCAGAATCTCTGAGGATGATGCCCTGTAAACCATATTTTAACAGAACCCCAAAGGATTCAACATTGCAGACAACACACTGCCAGGCAACAAATGTAGAGAGAGTCAGTTGGCAAAAGAGCATAACATTTAAGAAGCTGACAGACAACAGGTTCAAATCCAGCTAGTCACCAACTGAGAAAGACATCCACAAGGACAATTAAATGGCAGGTGCTTTCTCAGCAGTTCCTGTAAATCTTAGGCTTCTCTCTTCCTTCCCCTCCTCTCTTCCTCCTGGTCCTGTCTCTCCATCCTCTTCCATGCTTTCATGATTCACACAGGACCATGAATATGTGCAGCAGTTCTAGCACCTTTCCTCTTGCTTTTCTTTGACAGGAGGAAAAGTGCTTTGCAGGTGATACGTTGTCATACCGTTTTCACAGTTGTCCCTCCTAGATCTGTTTAGCAACTCAAACACAGCAGCTGTGACTTGGTGAGGGCTTCAGGGGGTGTGCAGAGGAAATAGAACAGAGATGACAGCAGGTGGCAGAGATAAAGTCCTTGATCCAATTCTTTCTGCTTTCCTAGGAGTTCTTGGCCTTCCGTGGAGGGCACGGGGGACAAGAGATGGGACCCCCCCTCCTTCATGTCCCAGGGAGCAGGTGGCTTCCTGGCTAGAACTCTCAGGATCTGGGTTTTAGAGTGAGATCGCTCTGCTTTCAAATCTCTGCCCTGCATTCAGCCTCTGGGGGATAGGAGGCAAGATTTTTCTTTTCAATCCCTCTCATTGCTGACACGCTCATCTACAAAGCAGAGTTATTGTGCAAACTTGATGGTGTGCTGTGTAACGGAACACACAGGACACACGTGTGCTAAAAAATATGCTGGCTATTGTTGCTCCCGTGGCTAGCTTCTCTTCAGAGAGTGTCACACTCTGATTGGTGATAGTTGTCTTTTTCAACTTCAAAAAAGCTTTGGAGAGAGGGGTCAGTCCAGCCCTCACTATGAGGGCAGGCCTTCGATGTCCCTTCGGTGTCACATTCCATGAATCAGTGGCCCCCGCCATCTTCACAAGGGAAACAAGTACCCGAGGATGGAGAAGGGCCACTGGGGGAAACTTATCCATTGGCATGGGATGGAGGGACCAGGATCAAACCAAGGTGCTGTTTCACGATCTAAGTTCTTTTCACTCAAACTTTCTTCCAAAATCTCTAACAAGATCCCCAGGCTAGGGGCAAAGCAGTCCTCAAAATGACTGTCAGGCTGTGAGTGGGTAACAATCTCTTGATGTGAGTGAGTAACAATCTCTTGATAGGTGCAACAGAGCAGAATAGACTTCATGGAACACAGCGCTTACCTGAAAAGGAGCCCATCTCCAGCCATGGCGTAAATGACCCTCGGCATTGGGAAAAGAGAGCCCAGCAAGCTGACCGTCAGTCCTGCAACTGACCCAATGGCCACTACAAACTTCGCAGCATAGAAGCCATGAACCACAAACATCTCCATGAGTGGGGATTCCGTGTCAATGGCGTAATACGGCACCATCAGTGTTAAAATCATGCTCACCTGTTAGACAAGAGAAGAGATGGCTGGAGGGGACTGGCGTGGAGAGCGTGGGGGGATACACCAGGGAAAGGGAGGTGGGAACTGACATGGAACTAGGGGTCTGCGGCTAACTGGCCTGCGGCTTTGTTTTGAGCTGGTCATTTGACCTCTGCTGCTCGTGGCTTCCATGTTTTCTCCCCACGTGTGGTTTTGGTGGATTGGACCAGATCAGTTCCCAAACTTCTCTGGGGTTCTTTCCTATTTGAGGACTAAATCTACAAGTATGTCCCCCTCTTGAGGGCAGAACTACAAAGACACTCCCCACCCCCCGTCCCGCAAGGACAAGATTCTCATTTCTTCTAGTCCTTCAGAGTTCTACAAGATCTGCCTTTCTCTCCCCACCCTCCCCTCAACACTTGAGATCAAAACTCCCAAGATAAAGTCAGGTGCCAATAGCTCATGCCTGTAATCCTAGCTATTCAAGAGGCTGACATCTGAGAATTGAGGCTAAAGCCAGCCCAGGCAGGAAAGTCCATGAACCTCTTATCTCCAATTAACCACCAAAAAACCAAAGTGGTGCTGTGGCTGAAGTGGTTAAAGCACTCACCTTGAGCTGAAGAGCTGTGGAACAGTGCCCAGGCCCAGAGTTCAAGCCCCACATTGACAACAAAGCCAACCAAACAAAAAAAAAACCCTCCAAAAATAAGAGTTTAGGAAGTCCACAGACAATTAACCAATGGAGCCTAGTGAGAACTTATATTCCAATCCTCTCTCTAGCTTAGTTCTTGGAGTTGTGCAGGCCCCAAAGAGATGATCATATCAGGACTGAATAGATCTAGTCTTTCTCAGAGCTATAGACAACTGTGACTTTTGCTTAACTAGAAAACACTGATCTGGGGGCTTCCAGAATCTATCTCCCATATCAGTCTCTTCAGAATCAGACTCCAACAGTGTAGCCAATAGGAATAGGCTGAGGAATCCCCAAGCCTATGGTAACCAATCCTGACACCAAGAAGAGAGTTCAAAACCTGAAAGGGAGATCACTTCTTTGCCTGTTCTGCTGTAGCCTGATTCTAGGAAAGTCGTGGGCTGCCAGGGGAGAGAGTAGGTTGAATCAACACAGCCCTGCAATCTGGCTCTTCTCTGGTGGTGGTGTAGAATGTTCCTTAGGGAGGAGATGGGGGCTGATTCTTATAACAAGTCATAAGTCTCCTGGCCATGCAGGTCAGGGTAGAGAGTCCAGGCTGGTGGATACCTGGAAGGACCTTGTAGCCTATAAAGTATTATTCTAAGGCAGGGGCTGAGTATATGAGCAGTCATGACTCCCAGGGAAGGATGGAGGCATGGGGGAAGAAATGCAGGGTAGAAGAGCTGTCTCTGTAGACACTCGAATGTCTACCAATCACAGCTGAAGCTACTCTCGTGTTTCTGTGTGGCCTCCAGACAATGCTGTCTGCAGCCTGCCTTAACTATCACCTGGCTTGCTTGGAAAGCAAAGATGGGTTTGAGAGAACGAAGAAAGGCAGGGCTGATGGGCCATACCCACAGCTGATAGCACCCTTCCTCACAGTGACCCACAAGTCACTTGGCGTTTATTAGGAATATAGATTTCTCAGGATTTAGCCAAGATTGACTGCAACAGAAGCTCTGAAGGTGTTGTCAAGCAAATTGGTTTTTTGTTTTTGTTGTTGCTAATTTTTTAAAATTGTTATTATAAAGGCGATATACAGAAGGGTTAATAGTTGCGTAAGTCAGGTAAAAAGTACATTTCGTTTTTTTTTTTTTTTTGCCAGTGAACTCTAGGTGCTATCTCTGAGCGTCTTTGTGCTCAGGGATAGTGCTCTACCATTTGAGCCACCGTGTCACTTCTGGCTTTTTCTGAGTACTCTATTGGAGATAAGAGCTTCATGGGCTAGCCTACCCTGGCTGGCTTCAAACTGTGATCCTCCAATCTGAGCCTCTTGAGTAGCTAGCACTACAGGTGTGAGCCACTGGCACCCAACTAAGAGTACATTTCTTTTTGCACAATGTCATTCCTTCTTGCCCACAAACTGTTTTAAAAGCACCCTTAGCTGGGTGCCGGTGGCTCATGCCTAGTTACTCAGGAGGTTGAGATCCGAGGAGCATAGCCCAGGCAGGAAAGTCTGTGCAACTTTTTTTGTTTTTTGTTTTTGGTCGGTCATGGGGCCTGAACTGTGGGCCTGGATGCTGTCCCTTAGCTCTTCAGCTTAAGGCTAGAGCTTTACCACTTGAGCCACAGTGCCACGGCCTTTTCTGCTTATGTGGTGTTGAGGAATCGAACCCAGGGCCTCATGCATGCGAGGCAAGTGCTCTACCCCTGAGCCACCTTCCCAGCCCCTGTGCGACTCTTATCTTCAATTAACCACCAGAAAACTAGTGGCTCAAAGTGGTAGGTGCTGGTCTTGAACACAAAAGCTCAGGGATAGCACCCAGACCATGAATTCAAGCTGTAGTACCAGGATGCATCCACCTCCCTCCCCAACTTGCTTCCAGATCTTTCCATGTTGTGGTGACCAAAGTGGGAGGACACTCAGGATGGGGAATGCTTGTGTGGCCACACACAGAGTGGCTGCTCAGCGGGTTGTATTTTCAGGGACCGGGGAGATGTTGAATGTGGTGGAGCTATTTCTGTGATAGAAATTCTGTCATGGGGACCAAGAGATGAAACATCAAAGTATACAGAGGAATGACGACATTGATCAAGATGCATTGTATTCATAAATGGCTTCATTTATCAACAGACAACTACTTAATGATAAAAATTATATTAAAGGGGCTGGGAAGGTGGCTGGGAAGAGCGCTTGCCTTGCATGCCTGAGACCCTGGGTTCGATTCCTCAGCACCCCATAAGCAAAAAGAAAAAAGCCGGAAGTGGCGCTGTGGCTCAAGTGGTAGAGCGCTAGCCTTGAGCTGAAGAGCTGAGGGACAGCACCAGGGCCCAGAGTTCAGGTCCCACGACCGGACCCCAAAAAATATATTAAAAAAGTTCAGAAGAGCACCTTGGGGGAGCCTGAAGAGATAAGGCTGAAAGTTGAAGCCTGGGGATTGTTTTTGGCAGGGGGAACCCCAAGGATGAGTTTAAGCTGGGATTAGAAGACTGAGCAATAGCAGAAAGAAGTTACACTCCTCCCCTAATTTAAGGCAAAGAGAATCTCCAGAGGACAATGTATTCTCTCTCCCCACTCTGCCAGAGCCTTGTCTCTTTGCTTCTGGGAAGCTCTAGAAGACAGAAGAGCATTGAGGGCTGCTCACAGAGCAGCGTGCCTGTGCTCCCACACCGCCCGTTACTGCCAGCCTATGACCTGAGCTGCTTGGACGGCAGCCAGCTTTCTGCATACCCATCTCCTAGGGCATGGAGGATGCCGGGAGCTGGTGCGGGGAGGGTTAGGGATGGAGACTCCAAGGCCAAGGCTGAAGGGAGGGCCTGAACTTCAATTCCTCTCTAGTTTGGGGTTTTAAGTTCAGTGGATAGGGTTTAGGGGACACAAGACACCGCCACACAAACATCAGGAAGACACAAGGAAAGGACTGTTCATGGCAGAGGAGGAGACAATCCTAAGGGCATGTTTGAGGGTCAAATACAAGAAGGTAATGAGGAGGGTCCAATTAGCATCGGTACTCACAGAAACATATGCTGTCAGGCAGATGACCAGGGAGGCAGTGATTGCATAAGGGATGGATGTGTTAGGATTCTTGGCTTCTTCTCCAGTGGTAGCGATGATGTCAAAGCCAATGAAAGCGTAGAAGCACGTGGCTGCTCCTTGTAGCACCTGTGTGGATGAGGGCACTTGTCAGGCTCAGAAAACCAGTGCTCTTAAATATGGGGTTGATGACCGCAGACCTTACAGAGGGTAGAGGAGGGAATATGGTAGAGCTGGTGAGATGTCTGTGTTCCGATCTACTAGGCTTTCTTGCTCTGGGACCCTGGGTAAGTTCTTCCTGAGTAAATGACCACATCACCATGGGAGTTGAGGAGCACTGTAGACTCCAGGAGGAAGCCAAACCATGCATGTTGGTGGGATTGGGTTTGTTCAGAGTGGTGTGTGTGTGTGTGTGTGTGTGTGTGTGTGTGTGTGCATGTGTGCACAATCCTGGGGCCTGGGACCTGTCCTTAAGCTTTTTGCTCAAGGCTAGCACGCTACCACTTGAGCTACATCTCTACTTCTAACTTTTTGGTGGTTAACTGGAAAGTCTCATGGACTTTCCTTCTGGGGCTGGCTTTGAACCTTGGTCCTCAGATATCAGCTTTTTGAGTAGCTAGGATTACAAGCATGAGCCCCTGGCATTTGGCAGGAGTATTGACTTTTCAGACAGAAAGAGATGTGTTCTGCCACATACTAGTTTGGAGACCAATGCCAAGTTCCTATCCTCTTGGAGCATAAGTTTCTTTATCATGTTCTGCCACATACTAGTTTGGAGACCAATGCCAAGTTCCTATCCTCTTGGAGCATAAGTTTCTTTATCAGTAAAATGGAGACAATTATAGTACTTAGTTTGTAGGGTTGTTATAAGGATCAAATGAGATAATACAATCTCAGAATATAATAGTTGCTCAACAAAGATTTGCTTTTTACCACTACTATTACTATTATCATAACCCAAGGGCACAAATTCTTCCTTCTCCCTATCCTCTTCTTCCTCCTCTCCTCTCTATTTTTCCTCCTTCATTTAAAACTTGGCACATGTATATGAGGTACTGCCAGGGGTTGGGCAGTGAGATGAGAATACATACCGAACACAAAGGGTGCTGAGCTTGATGTTGTGGGACTTGGTGTTTGGAGGATACTGAGAGCTCCCAGATGCAGCCTTGACTGTGGGACAAACTGAATGAGACTGAGCAGTATCTATTAACTGCAAACACAAATGCTTCCATTTCTCAAGGGATACAAGAATGGGTGGCATTTATTGATAATGGTTAGATGTTACAAAAATTATGATTGAGCTGGAAAGAGGATATTCATGAGCCTACAGTTGTACCTATAGAACTAGAAAGCAAGTATAGTTGAAGAAAAACTGGAAAACTGGGAGAGAGCAAAGGAAGGGGTGACATTGCCCAAAAAGAAATGTACTTATTACCTGACTTATGAAATAACCCCTCTCTCAATAAAAAATTTTAAAAATCCAAACAAAATGAAGAAGGAAGAGGAGGAGGAGGAGAAAGAGGAGGAGAATGAGGAGGAGGAGGAGGAGGAGGACTGGATAGATCAATGACAAGGAACTCTAGGGTTCAATGGCATTAGTCCGCCAACAGAACCTAACTCAGATGATTCCAGTGAATGGATCATCAGTGAAGGGACACCAGTGAGTGTGTGGGCAGGATCAAGGGAGTCAACTAGGGGGTTGAAGCAGCCTGTGAGGGATAGGATGGTGTTTCTGGAGTCCTTGAGAGGTGGAGGGGTGGAGCATGGCTACCCACACAAGACAGTGGTGGGCCACTACTAGGTAGGAACATGCTTGTCCTTGCTCTCTACCTGACTGCCTGCTAACTCTTCCCACTGACTCACCCAGCCAAGGGTCCTCTGGAGCATGCATGAAGGGCAGAGATGGAAAAAGACCTACATACCGACCAAGGTCAATAGACCCTACCTAACAATACACTGGTGACATGAGCAGATGATCACAGAGAAGGCAAAATCAGCAAAAGGTCATTTGTAAGCTTGAATTAGGTTCTTCATTTTGATTTTTTGTTTGTTTTAAAGACAGGATCTCACTCTTTAGCCCGGGTGGGACTTGAACTCACATCCTCTTACCAATGCCGCCTAAATCCTGAGATTACAAGTAAGTACCACCACACTAGGGTATGGAAGGTGATTTGAATCGTTATTCTTTCTGGCAGGCAAATGGGTAAGTACACAGAGGTACCATGAAATGATACTAAATGTAGGTATTTCTACAAAAAATAACCACTAAAACTGTTTACCACTGCGCTTTCCAGATTTTTGATCTGGCCAGGAATGGATGTGGCTTCCAAGGGTGAGAATCTCCGTGAACAACATTGGTGGATGAGTGAGTGAACTTGCACGCACGTGTATGTATGTTTCATGGTTCACTGATACTTTATCTTCTTTTTTTTTAAAACATTATTTATTTGGGTCTGTACTAGGGCTTGAGTTCCGGGCCATGGTGCTGTCTCTGAACTTTATTTGCTACTTGAGCCCCACCTCCACTTGTGGCTTTTTGGTGGTTAATTGGAAATAAGAATCTCATGGACTTTCCTGCCCAGACTGCCTTTGAACTTCGATCCTAAGATCTCCACCTCCTGAGTAGTTAGGATCACAGGTTTGCGCCATTAGCTCCTGGCTTCTTTAGTATTATATCATTCTGATATAAACAAAACAAACAACAAAAAAAGCTAAAATGTCTTCCCAATTTGAGCCTGGTATGGACGCTCAGGTAGGTGCTCTGGAGAAGGTTTGTCCTGCTCAGAAGCAGCCATGCCTCCGTTGCTAGAGGGCTGCTGCTTACTTAAGTTGTCAAAAGCCATGCCATTTGTGGACTCAGGGTGGGGCTCTGGGAAAGCTGCCCCTTTGTTCCTTGCTGACAGTTGAGCAGCCTTCGGATGAGGCAGGCCTTCCATGTTTTGTCTTGGCCAGCCTGCCAGATGCTAGAAGCTAATTAGGCACTTTTACACAGTGCACTCCCAAGGTAACATGACAAAATTCCAACGTCAAAAACATTGTTGGGTGCCCTCATGGCCCGGTCTATCAGCAGCCTTGTCTGTAGCCACAGTGGAATGTGCTAATAAGTTCCAACACATGGGTTCAGATGCGGAGACCACGAAAAACAGCTTTTCCTTTGTTTGAAAGCTGTCTGAATTTCCTCCAAATTCTTGCTCTGACCATTTTCCTGGGAGGTATTTGTGCTGCTAGAGTATCTTATTGGATACAGAAAACCCATCAGATAGCATCAAGAACAAATAACATAAAGGGCACACACATCCAACCATGTTCAAGGTCTGAGAAATTGCAGATGGAAGAAGAGGTTCAGCTGAGGGCCAGAGTCACTTGATATAGGGGAAAATGTTTGTTGTTCTTAAGTTCTTCAAGACCAAAGAGGCAATTGACCCAGAACCTGTAAGTGAGTAAACCATTCCTTAAGCTATTTTCTTTGGAAGGAAGGGGCTGGATCAGAGGGAAAGGGTAGGCTTTTGAGGGTTCTATTGCCAGAGGATTGATTTTTTAAAAAATTAACCCTTTCAAAGCACTTGGAAATTATTTGAAGTCATGTAGTGGTGACATTATATAATCCCCTACATGGTGAGTTTCCCCATTTCATCCTATGTAAAGCTATGGAAAACCAGAGTGTTGGACTTCTGTATTCATCTCCTAATTAGCAGTATGGGTCAGGTTTCCCCATGGAATAAAGAAGAGTATATGTCATAGTTTCGTTGACGTTTGTTATGTAGGAGTGGAAAATGTGTTCCTTATCTTGGTGCATGGAATGATCATAGAAGGTCGACAGGCCTTGAAAATTAGGATTTAAGTTTGCAGTGGCCTTGCTGGACTGGAAAACTGACCTGAAACCAAATTTGAAAAAGAACAGGGCTGGGCCTGCTCACCAGGAAGGATATGTACTATGCTGAAATCCAAGGCCAAGCAGAGCCGATAAGATGAATCCAGCATCTTCACACTGGCCTGTGCTTTGTGCTCAAGCAATGTTCTCAGTTATGGCTGCTAGGACACAGCTGAGCTTTCTTCAGGGACAATTACTTTGCGCTGAAAATCCCAAATCCAAGCCAAGCATTCTGGTGACCAATGACAAATCTACTTAAGAGAGTAGATGTAGGTTGGAGTGAAGTCACATACAAGAAGAAGGAAAAAGAAGAGGAGGTGGAAGAGGAGGAAGAGGTGGGGGAGAAAGAGGAGAAAGAAGAAGGGAAGGAGGAGAAGGAAGAGGAGGAGGAAGAGAAGGAACAGCAGGAAGAAGAAAAGGAGGAGGAGGAGGTGGTGTGTGTGTGTGTGGGTAGGGTGCTAGTGTCCCATGGTCCCATGGGTCTAGTGTCAGGTTATTCCTTTTTTACTATGATATTTAAGAAGGCTTAGAAGGAAGGGGTCAACATGTCAGACATGAGGTACTCTATTTAAAGTAGAAAGGGCATTGGAGCCACACAGCACTGGACAGAAAATTTAGTCATGGTATTGACTGGCTAAGTGAACTCCAGCACTCCAGCCTCTTTGAACCTTGCAATCTCCATTGTGGGGTGTGTGTGTGTGTGTGTGTGTGTGTGTGTGCGTGTGCGCGCGCGCACGCGCGCACGCATGCACGAGGGCCTGATCTCAGGGCCTTGTGTTCTTGTTTGTCTTTTTTGCTCAAGGCTAGTGCTCTACCACTCGAGAGAAACCTCCACTTCAGGCTTTGTATTAGTTAACTGGAGATAAGAATGTCTTGGATTTTTCTTCCTGAACTGGCTTTGAATTGCGATCCTCATATCTCAGCCTTCTGAGTAGCTAGGATTACAGGTGTGAGCCACCAGCATCTGGTATGTATTCTCCATTTTTAAGTTGAGGATAAACCATTACTTGCTTTCAAGTTTCCTGATAAGAGAAAGGTAACATTCACAGAACACAGCCCCAAGCAGCACAGGAGAGTCAGGAAATACGGTCTCCTTCCTCTTGCCAGTACAACAACTATTTTGAACTACAACATTATGGCCATCAAACAGTGAAGACTTTGTTCTTTCTATTTTTTTCTAAGCATTTGGTGAAATTTGTTTTTTAATAGATGAAAAATGTGGGAACACTGAAGTGATCTGATTGCCAAGGTCTTACAGTAAGTCTGCGACCTAATATTTCTTAAATGGTTAAGAAAATGGTGAGAACGTTTCCCCATGAGCTACAATAAAAATGCATTTGAGTTCCAGGAAAGTATTCTTTCTTTTCATTCTTATAATTTGTTGTTTGTCTTCTGTGATAGGAAAGGAATCATTTGTTGTTTCTTTTATGTGATAGGAAAGGAACAATTTGTATCATTAGAAAATACAGACTAGAGGATCCAGAATGGGGTCAACAGTATTTCTTTGTCTCTTTCTTCTGGTTTTAACCAGTTATTCATTTCAGAGAGGGAAGACAAACCTTGTGGTTCTGTGGAATTCTTATAGATAAGCAGAAAAGTGGAAATGTTGGCTGCAGTTGCTTACCTCTCTCCATCGAACAGCATGCATGGTTTAGTATAAACAGAAGTTATTTTGAGTGTTCTCCCAAGAGTGATTTCTGATCTCTGGGTAGAAATCTTGGAGGAAAACCAGTCCAAGCAAAAACTACACAAGTCAAAGCCAGTGGAATTGTGGTCCTTCTTTCTGCCCTTAAGCACTAGGCAGAATGCCTCTCTTGGTCTCTGGTTACTTCAACATCTCTTAAACGAGAACATAGAATCTGCCAGCTCAAAAGCTTATGATTCATGTTCTACTGAGAAAGAAACAAAAGCAAGATGCACTGGTGATCTTTACAAACAATTGCATGACATGAGCACGTTAGGTGATACTAGAGAAAGAAACCAGATCAAACTTAGAATCACTGGCTGGCATAAAAAATCTGCCACTCAGACCTCCTTGTTGTTCATACTCCCAGGTCGTGGAGATGAGATGTAAAATGTCCTTTTGGTCAGCCAACATCTTACAACTCCCCAGTCCACACGAACCATGCCTCTGGAATAGGGTTTCTACCCAGAATTCTACTGAATTAGTTCAACTGTCCTCTGACCTCAGTGGAAGTCTCTTCTTAGGGTCAGATGCCTGGACTGGATTAAAAATCATTCTCTAGGTGACATTGATCAAGATGCATTGTACTCATAAACTAACATGTTGAATTGAAACCCCTTCGCACAACTACTTAAAGATAAAAAAACAAACAAACAAACATACTGTCCTGGGAGCCGATGGCTCACGCCTGTAATCCTAGCTACTCAGGAGGCTGAGATCTGAGGATCGTGGTTCAAAGCCAGCCTGGGCAGGAAAGTCTGTGAAACTCGTCTCCAACAAACCACCAGAAAACCGGAAGTGGTGCTGTGTCTCAAGTGGTAGAGCACTCGCCTTGAGCTGAAGAGCACAGGCACAGCTCCCAGGCCCAGAGTTCAAACCCCCCTTCCAAAAAAATATTGTTCTTTTCCTCATTTTATACCTAGGCAAGACTCAACCCTTCCCTGGTCATCCACTCTCCCTAGGGCCTGTGCTACATTGTGTATTTGTGTACATGCCTACCTGTCTTGGTACACTGGAGAGAGATTTATAGAATTGAGGTGCTTCTGTATAGGATTTAGAGTGTGAGAGTTCTGATTTTGGGTTCTAATTCTGCCACTTATACTGTGTGCTTAATAGCAACTTCTGAGTGTGAATCTTGAAGACCTGAATGGAAATATTTCTCTTCCAAGATTACTGGGATAATGGAATGAGATATTATGTCAGAAATAGCACAGTGTTAGCCATATTGTAAGAAGTCACAACATTGAGTCTATGTGATTAATTTGTGGTATATATGTGTGTATGTATACAAGTGGATGTGTGGATGTATGTATGCACGTGTGTGCTGTTAATGGGGCTTGAACTCAGGTCAGGTCCTGGTACTGTTCCATATCACTTTTTTTGGGGGGAGGGTCCAGTCATGGGGCCTGAACTCTGGGCCTGGGCGCTGTCCCTCAGCGCTTCAGCTCAAGGCTAGCACTCTACCACTTGAGCCACAGCGCCACTTCTGGCTTTTTTTTCCTGCTTATGTGGTGCTGAGGAATCGAACGCAGGGCCTCAAGCATGCAAGGCAAGCGCTCTACCACTGAGCCACCTTCCCACTCCCATATCATTTTGTGTCCAAGGCTATCACTCTATCATTAGAGCTATACCTCTGTTTCCAGCTTCTGAGTGGTTAATTGGATTTAAGTGTTTCAAGGACTTTCCTGCGCTGGTGGGCTTTGAACCACAGTCCTCAGATTTTAACTTCTTGAGTAGTTAGATTACAGGTGAGAGCCCTGGCACCTAACTATACTTTGTTATTTAGATAAAACAGACCTCAATGAATGCTTGGGAAACAAGCAACTTTACAGCAAACCAACAAACACTTTTTCAGAACACTCCCATTAATTCAGATAAAATGGATGAGAGAAGTACCACTATGATTCCTGAACAAAGCAGCATGTTCTTGAAATCTGCCATCCCAACGTGCAAGGCGGAGTGTGGGGCAGGCACACAGCCTTTAGGAATGAACTCACCCCTGACCAGCCATGGGGCAAGAACTGGCCCTCAGCCCAGTATTTTCCATTGATGAAGAAGAGGCCTGCGATCATGATGAACACCCACACAGCCAGGTTTAGCACGTTCAAGACGTTGTTGAAGCCCACGGAATTCTTCACTCCCAGTGCCACAATGATGGTGACAAGGACAGCAATCACCAGAGCCAGCAGGTCTGGGTATGATTCTTCTCCTTTCCCTATAGGGGAAAGACAAGATTCATTACTGCCCAGAAGAAACAAGGGCCATGGAAACACCTGAATCTACTGCAGTCCATCTGTCCTCAGCTCTAACCCTACAGGGATGGTCCATCTAGCAGAATCTGTGCATTCTCTGCGTGTGTCCAAATGTGTGTGAGCATGTGTGTGTTTGTGTGTGTTCCCTACACAGATCTAGGAGTCTGTTTTCAGATGGTATGGTGGACAGGTAAGATGATCTGATATTCTGGAGCTACAGTGGAATATGCGCTAAGACAATGACAAGGGATGGATGGAAACATGGCATTGAACATTCTGGTCTGGACTGTCCTGAGATACTGGAGATGTACAGAGAACTCTACCCTATTCTTGAAAACTGCTTTATGACTTCATTATTATTTATCGTATACCTGGTTAGGTTTCTATTACTTGTTAGCAAATTTAGAAATGCACCTTTGAAAACCATTGTAGGAGAGGATTCTTTTTAAAACAATTAATGCATTTTTATTGTTATTGCAAAGGTGATGTAGGGAGAGGGGTTACAGTTATTATAAGAGTTATATAAGTCAGATAAAGAGTACATTTTTGGGGGGCAATGTTATCCCTTCCCCTGGCTCTCTCCCAGGTTTTCCCTCCTGTCCCCACCCACAAATTCCACAAGTTGTATAGTTCATTTTCGACACAGTGTGTACCACTGATACATTTGTTCACCCTTTGTCTCACCATTTCTATGACCCCTTTGCACTCCTAAAGACAGATAGATGAGCAAACAAGACAAAAGGAAAAAAAAACAAATACAGCAACATGTTTCCATTTCCTGGCATTCATTTCGATAAATATTATTTTATATGATCAGATGCACATAGGTATTGTGCTTTTGTGTTTCTCTCCTAAGAATATCCTGCAAGAGGGATTTCTTTCCGTGTGTGTGTGTGTGTGTGTGTGTGTGTGTGTGTATGTGGTCACAGACGGAAAATGTACAGGTCCTGGCCTCTTGGCCTGGCCGATTGGCAGGGGGACTCCTGCCTTCCATGGAGAGAAAAAGGCATTGCTACCGCAGCCAGGGGACTAAATTCTGTGGAACTTCTTGCCAAAGCCAGGGGTGGAGCCTTGGTTCATTCCTCATCTTTCTGGACTTTACCCGTAAAATAAAGAGATGACCAGCCTAATTTTGGGGCCACAGGAGGCCTAAAAGCTTATGAACTCAAGCATGGTCTTTGTAGATGTAATCTTTTTTATTTTATTTTGTTCTGTGCTGGTACTGGCCTTGAGCTCAGTGCCTAGGTGCTATACTTTTTTACTGGAAGCCAGAGCTCTCCTTCCAGTTTTTTGGTGGTTTAATTGGAGATGAGAGCCTCAGGGACTTTCCCACCTGCTATGAACTGGCTATGAACTGTGACCCCCAGATCTCAGCCTCCTGAGCATCTAAAATTACAGGCATGAGCCTCTGGCGCCTGGCTTTATGCTTATAATCATGTCATGGTATTTGGTTCTTCAGCAATTTTGTCAATTAGGTTCTTCCTAATTATTGTATTACTGTAGGATGAACTTTTCTACTCTGAAAATTTAAAGTCAGAAGTGGTCTTGAATCTGCACATTTTTGAGTAATGTCATGGGTGGAGATTTCAACACCATAAAATCTTGTTCCATGCACAAACATATCATAAGAATCGAATAAGATTATTTTTAGGTTATATGTATAAGAGATATATGAAACAAATAAATTTTGTGCTGTCCCTAAGATATGTCATCAGGTTTAGGCAAATATTCTCAAGCCTGGGGAAAATTTTTAAATTCAAAGAATTAATTATAAACATTTCAGATAAAGAATGCTTAGCCTCCTTAGATAAGACTGTGGTGAGGGCATCAGTGGCTCATGCCTATAATCCTAGCTCCCAGGAAGCTGAGAGCTGAGGCTCATGGTTCAAATACAGTCTGGGTAGGAATATCTACGAGACTCTTATCTCCAATCAATCACCAAAGAACCAGAAGTGGAGCTGTGGCTCAAGTGGTAGTGCATCAGCTTTGAGCAGAAAAGCCAAGGGACAATGCCCAGGCTCTGAGTTCAAGCTCCAATATAGACAGATGGGCAGACAGACAGACAGACAGACAGACAGACAGACAGACAGACAGACACACACACACACACACACACACACACACACACACACACACACTGTCCTTAGGATGAGGAATTATTTTGCAAAACCAAACAAGAGTATATTAAAGTTCTTGGCACATTTTGCCAAATTGCACTGGGAAAGGGGAAGGCATTCACTTGGCTAAGTTTCTGTGCTGGGGAGAGAAGATGTTGGGGTCTCACCCAGGCCGTTGAGCGTTCCCACCGTGTCTATCATCCAGCCGCTGATGGTGTGATTCGCCAGGGAGTCAAACATGCTGCTCAGAGCACTGGCGCCGGCTGCGGTACCAATCAGGTACTCCAGGATCAGATTCCAGCCAATGAAAAACGCCACAAATTCCCCGACAGTGACATAGCTGTAGGTGTAGGCTGATCCAGTGGTCTTGGGGACTCGAACTCCAAACTCAGCATAGCACACACCTGGGAGGGAGTCAAGCACACACAGATGGTGGAAGTCAGGAGACAAAGTAATCTCTTGGTGGTTAGCGATCTTGGTAGGAGATATTGGGAATGTCTGGACTCTAAGAACATATGCACAAAGACGAGAAGTTTTATATGCATCCAGACATCCCAGAAGGAGGGGACATATTCTGAGAAGTGCATTCTTGGACGTTCCATTGTTGGGTGACTATCATAGAAATGTACTCATATAAAGCTATGATGTAGTCTACTACTCCCCTAGGCTATATGGTGTGTGTGTGTGTGTATTCATACATAATACATATGTGCATGTGTATATATTCATACTCATATGACTGAGACTGTTGAACAAAACAATATACGATTATGTTTAGCCAGGGGAAAATGATAGAACTAGTAGACTGAGTGAATATTAGATACATGAGGTTGCTGCTGGTGTAAAGCAGTACACTGCTTTATAGTAAATCTTATTAAAAAGAAGGCCATTCTAAAGTACAAATAAAACATATACCACAGCATATGTTTTATATATATATATGTATATATATATAAATACATATGTTAGCAATAGTTATTTATTATCATTATCCAGTATTATGTGCTACACATAATTGTATATGCTATACTTTTTTTTTGAGACAGAGTATCCCTATATAGCATAGATTGGTCTTAGAATTTATGATCCTTCTGCCCCAGCCTCCTCAGTGCTGGGATTTCAGGTGTATACCATCACACTTGGCAGTGTTGTACGTTTATAAACTGGCAGCAGAGTACATTCATTTACACCGGCATCTCCGCCAACAGTGAGGAATAGATATTACAATGTGAGTAGCACCTACAATATCATGGTCAATGGGGATTCTCCAGGCCTAGAATAATCCTACTGGACCTCAGTCACACATATGTTCCATCATGGCCCGAAACTTGTTATGTGGTCTGTGAATGTATAATGAATCACTTTGAGTGCAATTCTAACCACTCTCCTTTAAAAAACACTTTCAAACGAAGGCAATCAGAATATACTTGATTCCAGTATTGAAAAGCTGGTATACCATGGGGGAGGATGTAGGAGACTACAAGATAAACTACCTCAGTCCCAATTTTGTTGAGGGCCAACCCTGAGGTTCTTGACCAGACAATAGTTCACTCTTATGTGAATAGAGAGAGCACCTTTCTTTTCTTTTTTTGAAGGGAGTGAAATGCAAGCAAGCAAGCACACAGATGTCAAAAACATGAACACAATAAGTGATTCACTGCCATGTGCTCCTCCCTTGCCTCCCTGTGGAAGGGGCACAGGCCAGGTGGGCTTGGCTCTTGGGTTGGTTCTACCTTTTACATTCAGTTTTCTTATTTGTCAAATAAAAATACTATGTGAAATGCTCTCTTAAATCTCTCCTATGTGGTTGGGTGTTGGTAGCTCGTGCCTATAATCCTAACTACTCAAGAGGTTGTCATCAAAGGATTGAGGTTCAAAGCCAGCCTGAGTAAGAAAGTCCATGAGACTCTTATCTCTAATTAATCCCCCAAAACTAAAAATGGAGCTGAGGCTCAAGTTGTAGAGCACTAGCCTTGAGTGAAAAGCTCAGAACAGTGCCCAGGCCCAGAGTTCATTCTAGGATGGGCACCAAAAAATCAATCAATCAATCAATCAATCAATCAATCTATCTATCTATCTTTCTCCTATATGATGATATCTGTTGAGACTTGCTGCAAAAAAGACTGATATCACTTAACTCTTCTTTCATAGCTCATGTGTTGTCCTATGTTATGGAGATGCTTAGGGGAATGGTCAGCCTCATCCCCACATTAAACAATGCAGGCTTCTATTTACATTTAGTTTGCAGGCCAAGCCTCCTTCCTTTACTTTGTAAGAGTTTTCCAAGTTCTTTCCTGGACTGTCAGTTGTTACTTCTTTGTTTGGTGATCTAGGCGTTTGCCTGGAACAATCAGACCACCTCATTCCCAAATTGCCACTTCTGATGTTCAAATTCTGAAATGTAACCATTGGATGCTTCAACTGTTAGAAGGAGCCTAAAATTAAAAGGAAGTAGTCTGAAAGTAGGCCCCAAAGGCCTCTTCCATGAGAAGGGCAGTGATCATGTGAAGATTAAGAATGTAGGCCAGGTGATATTTTCCTGAAGGCTTAGAGGACTTTTGTATTTGTTTCAGGATTCTTGAGAGTTGAACTTGCACATCCAGATTAAGTTGATTTTCAGTGTTATGTGAAGAAGGATTTAGAAGGAAACAAATTTCTCCTCTTGGATAGAATTTTTCCAACTGATACTTTTCAAACAGGCATGGATTTGACTCTTGATTTAACTTGTATTAAGCCAGTCAGTACTGTAAGTTTATGTAATCAACATTCTTTCCACAGTACCCAATGTGCAAAATCAAATGTAAAAACACTCAATTCACCATCAGAAGTCACTTGCCCAAAGAAATCAGTGAAAAGCCAAGTGATCATTAGGCCTTGTGAGAGACCAACCCCTTGCTGTCCTGAGTCAGAGGAAGAGGCCCTGGCTGAGCCAAGAGGAGGCCGACTTTGGAGCCTGTCAGTTACTTCTCAAGGGCCTGCTGGGTTTCTGATGACTATAGCTTGGAGTGAGTATGAGAAAAAAAAAATCAGTCAGCCAATTAACACCTAAGACAATTTTTGCTCCAAAAGCTCTGTTATTTTGCATATACTGTAAGGGCCGTATAGTATTTTCAAATCCTTTTGAGTTGTTTGCATACAGGAATCCAGGCTTTTAGAGGGCACTAGAGGTTATTACACTTGACATTGAAGCTTAGTGATGAAGAGTGAGAATTTATAAGCCCAAACATCTAGGGGGAAAAAATGGGGAAATTTTTGTCAGTCCTCAATGATTTCAAAATTACTGTAACATCAGAGAATCTGTTTTATTTTCTGGAAGAAATAAAAAAAAACCACGAAAAGGGAAACTTTGGTTTTTTAATCTTAGATTATCTGGTAACTCAATGTCCAAGGTTGGATTACTTACCTTCACACGGGTGACTGGAAGGGGCCAAGTAGGTAAGCAGAGCTCTGTAAATTCATCAGTCTTTGATTTCACAGCTTGAGGAAACTCTTACTTATTTGAGTCAAGAGGTAACACTCTGGAGAAAATACTGCAAACCAGTGACTCTCCACAAAGGTATGCTGACTCCCAGGGAGATTTTGGAAATCTTGGGAGCATCTCTGAGTCTCAAGATGGTTATGAACACTTGTAGGATTAAATCTATAGCGTTCTGGGTTGTGAGCCATTCTGCTCGGCATGGAGTTGCCCCATGGAGTTAAAGGATTCCTTTTAGTCACACATTAACTTCTCAGGGTCCTAATGGGTATCTAGAAGTGCAAACTTGTTTATAATTTCTGGATCTGAATTTATGCCTACTTTAGATATAAACACAAAACTTATTTTTTCGTTTGGTATGGCATTGGACACATTTTCTAGGATTGCAACAACTGGAGAAATGGAAGATTTGCTGTAATTTGTTTTGATTGGAATATCCTCAGAATTGGCCATCATTTTGGAAATCATGTTAACAGCAACTATACTCAGAGGGTTTGAGCAACCTGGGCACTAAGGGGGTTAGCATTTGTCATAGTTGTGTTCATTGTGCTTCTATAAGGGGCTGCAATTTGCTGAAGGCTTTGCTTTGTCTCCCAATGTCCCCATGTCCAGTATTTACACAAAGAAAAAACTATTGCTTTTGTTTTTGCTGAGGGGCTTGAACTCAGGGCCTGGGCCCTGTCCTTGGGCCTCTCTGTGCTCAAGGCTAATGCTCTACCACTTGAGCCACAGTGCCACTTCCAGCTTTTTCTGAGTAATTTACTGGAGATAAGAGTCTCACAGACGTCCCTGCCCAGGCTGGCTTTGAACTGTGATCCTCAGATTTCAGCCTCCTGAGTAGCTAGGATTACAGGCATGAGCCACTGACATCCTGCTAACTATAGCTTTTATTAGAAATGCCTTTACCTTTCACACATGGGGAATATTAATTAAGAAAATTAAGTGTACAAGAAGACAGCATCACTTCCAGTTCTCAGTGGAGAATAGTAAAGAAAGCATTCAAAATGCTATTATGAAAATGGAGGAGGGTTACACTAGGATGGAGAATCACTATTCTAAATGAGAGATAAATATATAAATAATCTTCATTTAATTTGATAATTTATTTAAAATTTTTTAACCCAAAGCTACCTTCCTGGGACTGGGAAGGTGGCTCAGTGGTAGAGTGCTTGCCTTGCATGCATGAGGCCCTGGGTTCGATTCCCCAGCACCACATAAGCAAAAAGGAAAAAAAAGCCGGAAGTGGTGCTGTGGCTCAAGTGGTAGAGCGCTAGCCTAGAGCTGAAGAGCTGAGGGACAGCGCCCAGGCCCAGAGCTCAGGCCCCAGGACTGGACCAAAAAAAAAAAAAGCTACCTTCCTAATCATTTTTGCCTTGCATTATTGGCAGAGCGATGCCACATTTCTTGAGTGATTAGAGAGGAAGAGGTACATTTATTCCAAAAGGATCATCATGTAGCTGGAGAAAATTGATGTAAAATGCAATAATCAAGGTGCAAGCAGCCATCAGAGGGACCTTAAGACATCTGAAGGATTAATTTCAGCAGGTCTTCCGGGAGTAAGAGAGATTCCTAGTAATTCGAAACTCTGACATATTCACAACCACCACTCTTTAAGTAGACTGTAAACACATCCCAATTCATATTTTGTCATATCCCTAGTATTTTTTTCTCCCAGAGTTGAACATTGAACTCAGAGCCTTATACATGCCAGGCAAGTGCTTTTCTGCTGAGCTAAATCTCCAGCCTTCCCTAGTGTTTTGCTATACTTCAATACCAGTTTTGCTTAACTGGACAAATTGCCAGCCATGAATCGTTACACTCAGAGAGGACTTACATATTGAAAAGAAGGTTGGGAAATTTTCTGTTTGAAATAGTCTCTGAATTCCCTCTTGTGTCTTTGAGGTAATGTGTGATTTGGGGTTCCAAAAC